GATTATTTTTGCTGTAAATCTCCTTTTGTCTTTGATTCTAGCTGCAGGAAGCTCCTTCCTGTATTCTTTCCCCTCCCTCTTTGTTTGCTTTCGGCAATCATGTTCAGTGACCTCAGACTTCTGCATCTTTTAATCTGCCCACCCACATGGTTTGGGAGCAGTTTCAGGAAAAACGGTGTGCTTTGGCCATGGCAATTTGCCCTTTCTTCTTTCACATGTTTCCAGGGAGGGGTGAAGAGGGAGGCTTCTCTCGGGACCAGTTACCTGGAGGACTTGCCAAAGTTGTCTTTTTTTTTTTCTTTCCTCCTTTTTTCCCTCTCTTCTTATTTTTACTGTCTGGACAGATCTCTGAAGTGCAATGATGTCCTGTTAGTGTCTCTGCCTCGGAGTGGTTTCATCTAAGGTAGTGTGGACCAGTAGTTCATGACAGGCTGGGGAAGCAGAACGATGTCCTTGTGCTTGTCTGAGAATCTCTGGGGGACCAAATATATTTAACGGTAATAGACAGAATCTAGGGGAATTTAATAGGGTAGTGGGCAGAGGGTAGGGATCGGGGGAGGGAAATCCCTCTTTTATTGACATGTCCAAACCTCTTGCACCTGCTCTGTAACCAGGGGTTGGGATTAGTTATTGTGCACCATTGACTAAGAGTATATTAAAAACCCTTTAATCTGCACAGATATATGTAAGGCCTTTTGTATCTCTCGTAATAAGTAATTAAGAAAAAAATAAAGGTCTTTATCACTGCCTTTCTATTGGGACCATGGTTATATATAGATAGTCTTTACTTTTCTACACCGTACACTGGTTGCTGGATTTACCTGTATTCTTAACCGTATTGTATATGCTGCATTTAGACCTACTTACGAGCGAAGTAAAAATAATTAAATACGAAATGCCATACTGTATGCCTGAAGCGCTCTAAGTGCAGGAGCCTCGTGTCCCAATTGCTGTCACAAAAAATTTAATTTTTTTTATATAATAAAAGTGCCTTAGCATGTGCCTCAGCTGTGTGTCACCACTACAGTCAGTAATGGTTTACTGGTGCTCCACTGATGTTACCAATAAAGATTATCCATGTGCTGCAGTCTGTGTGCGTGTGTTGCCGTTGCCTCCTTCCCTGAGGGCGGTGAAGACCATGTGCACCGTCTCCAAAGGTAGCAGATGTGGTGTGAGAGCATCGGCCCGTCCTGTCAGCAGCGCTGCAGACCTCCCCTGATGCTGAGTGACACTCCCTTGCCAAAATCAGGTTTTACAGGACCCGCAGCATGTCGCTGGGGCAGCTGGCAGTGGCTAGCACCGGGGATTTCAGAGAAAGATAACGCACCGTGTTTGTGTGCTTTCAGGCAGTCTCGTATTCAAAACAGAAGGCTGTGATTTTGAGCTGAGCTAGTTCTGTTCTTGACTCAAAGACGATGGTATTTCTGAGCCTGTAACTCACAACTGTTGCAAACCAACTCTCTTCTTCACTTTTATTTCCAGTCTCTGGGGTCACTGGAAAGTGAGGTTAGTGGAGGAGGTGGATAGATAAGTCTAGAAGTCCGTTTTGTCAATGGATTGGCAAAAGTGCCTTTCACTCATCTTCCAGCTGGTCCCCAGAAAATCTATGTTTTGTAACAGTTTTGCTAGAAATTGAATAAGGAACCTGTGGCTGTATTCATCTTCTGGTCTGTGGCCCCTCAAACTGCCGCAGGTGCTCCTGTATTCTGGTGTTAACAGTCATGGCATTAAAAAGCTGGAGCATGACACTGGCACATGATCATTGTAACCTTGTCCCACTTGTCCTGCGTTGACAGAGAGTTAAACCTTAATGAGAAAGTCTGAGTTAGAAGTTGTGGTTGGGGCTGGGTCAGACCCTGGGTGGCAGTGATGGGGAAGGAAGTGCTGATGTTCACCACAGGGTATGGTGCTGCTGCCAAGGCCAACAAGGCTGCTGGCAAACAAGGAGCAGGCAGGGTGCAGCTTACGGTAAACCCTTTTCCAGGGGAGCACGTGTCTCTGCTGCTCCCAAAGGATGGGACTTCTGTCTGAGCAAAGTCAAGAGGGGAGAAAAAAAGTCTTCGCATTAAGAAACTTAAATGTAGATATAAGGAGAAAAAAAAAAAAAGAGGAGAGGGGCATGTCCTGAAGGAGGAGGCATGAAGATTGGCTATGCACTGCTGCTCGACGGGGTGCAGTCGCGTTAAGGTGTCAGTGTGATGATGAACAACTTTGGACGTTACGTTACACGGGCTGCAGCTTGTCAAAGCCTGAACAGGGAGTAACGCGTGGAGGGACAAGGTGTGTTCATGGTGCGCAGAATACAGGCACTGCTGTGCTGGTGTCTTGTGCGTATCCTGTTAAAAGCAGGACTGGGGTTACTCTCGTCTGGATTTTACAGGTTTAGACACCTTGGTCTTTTTCCAAAGTGTTTTGCAGAAACATGTAGGGTATCTTTGAGAACAGCATGCCCTTTAAATTAGGCTGAAGTTGCTTTCTCATCATAGGATCTTCTTGAACTAACTCCAGCTGGCCAGGGGCGGCTGTGGTGCAGAGCAGAACTGGTGAAACACCTGTGTGCTGGCAGCGTGCTGACCCCTTTAAGCCCAGGCTGCTTTCTATGCTCTTGATGTTGCTGTGTGTGAGCCGATGCTCAGCTTGAATGCTGCTCTGTCCAGCGCAAGATGGAAAGAGGCTTGGGTTTTTTTTCCCACTGGCACAGCACTTTCCTTCAACTTTCCACCTCTTTGTGCATCCCCATGAAAGGGCCAAAATTAACCTCCCACAACATTTTCCACTTTTCAGAGTGTAACCTTGAGCTAGCAAGTTCTCGTGGCTCCAAGTTAGTTGCTCTTCTGTGGATCTCCAGAGCTGCTAAATGCCTCACATAGGTTTTCCTATATGAGGTTTTCCTCATCCACAGGGATGGTCTGAGTAGGTGAGTGCTGGAGCTCTATTTGCCATCTGCGTGATGCAACCTCAGGGCTGATTCTAGCAGGCATGGGAAAGGTCTGAATGAGAGGGAGCACATGGACAGTTTCAGACAATGCAAGAGATGGTGGTAAAGTTGATTTCAAGCATTCCTTCCCTGCACCAGACTGTTGTGCTGGCACAAAGGACCTGTAAACTGCATCATTAAATATAATAACCCTGGCTAAAAAAAAAAGGTAAACAATGGTAGTGATGCAGGTTACAGCATGGCCCTCACAGACTGTTTGAACAGCAGAACCGAGGGACAGAGCAATCGGCCCTGCCACAGCCTTGGGGAGGTGGAGGCAGATTGCTAAACCTGAAGGAAGCATCTAGTCCTGCTGCAAAGAGCCTTCCTGCACAGAGAGCAGCTGAGCTCTCGCCTTGTTCCTGCTACAGCTTCCCCCAGGGCAGAGTGAAGACAGTGGCCATTAGAGCCAGTTACAGCTGGGTGCAGCAGCACTGACCCTGCCAGGTTTAGGATGGGGATTTAGCCCTCTAGTACCACTTAATGCAAATGCAGAATCACTTTATCAAAGCCCAGGGTGCAGATTAAATGGCTGTGGGGCTGGGATGCTTCAGTGACAGGCACCGGAGGGAGGAGCTCTGATGGAAAATTGCGGCCTTCCCTGCCTGGAGGGAGATGTGAGCGAGGGTGGCCTCAGAGTAGTGATTCCAGCAATCTGAAACTAAAACACAGGCTACTGCAGCCCAACTAGGGGGAGTGAACAACAGGCCCCAGGGGCATTTAAAGCATTAATTATTGGCCTGTGCTGTCCAGGAGCATCCATGTGGATGCACGGCCTGGTTCGTGGTGCTTGGAGTGGGGAGGAAGCTGCGGAGCTGCTGTGGTTCTCCCATCCTGGCTGGGTAAGGAGTTGGGCTGCCTGTCCTGGAAGCCCAGCCCAGCCCTGAGCACTGCCCAGACTGTTTTGGGGAGACACCTATCCCAACCCTGCCGGCAAGATCCCAATGGCGTTGCCTTCCCTGAACGGCCCGAATCTGAACGTTGCCAGGGACATGTCCTTTTGAACCTTGTCTCCAAGCACAGCTGAAGATGATATTTCCACTTCCAGGACAGATAGCTAATACTAGTAGATAAGTGTTTGTCATCTGTCTGGACCTATTACTTTTCTTCCTCTGATGGCAGCAGTGGGAGCAAAAGCAGAAGGAAAAGGAGAAAAAAAAACAAACACAAAAACTCTCCAGTCCTAAAATTGTGACTCTTCTGTTCTTGATACTATTTCGAGCCAGTGTGACTGAGCAAAACAAGCAGCTGAGCAGCAGTGCAGCAAGAGGAAAAGGAAAACATGAAATGTCTCGAGTGATGATGGTCTGGCATGTGAGAGGAGAGGTGCTGGCATCCCTTCTCAAGCCAGCTCCCTGCGGTGGGGGCTGCCTCCCTTCCTGGACTACAGCACTTTCCATTTGCAAAAAGTAAAACACCCAAAGAAAGACACTTTAAAGTCCGTTAAGTAAAAGCACGGTTGCTCTTTTGGCTGGGCAATCATTTGTTTCTGCACAAGGAATGCTTAAGGCCTTCTCCGCTCACCTACAGCAGCTGAGGACGTGTGCAGGCAGCAGAAGGCTGTGGGACATGGTGCTGCCTGGGTGCACGCGCCAGTCCCGCAGGAGAGGTCTGTCTTGGAGGTTTCGCTATTGCTCAGCACCCCAGCCCTGAGGGAGAACGAGGGAGGAAGTGGAGAACTGGTGGTGATGGAGTGGCTGGCCTTGCAACACCATGTTACTTGTAATGAGCTTGTGTGCTGCTAATTAATCTGGAATTTTACTGTGAATGTCTTCATTCACTACAGCCTTAATTGGCTCATCATGGAAATTGTGCGGAACCTCATGGAAGAGGGTGTTACGGCAGAGCGTATTTATGGCAGAGTGTATCACTCAGGATAAATGGATCACTTCCTTAGTCTCCTTCTTAGGAGAGGAGCCATCACTCAAATCCCTGACCTTGTGTTAGGTCGAGGCTAAAGCAGGGCTCTGTGGCCAGAAAAAGTCTCACTGGAGAC